GAACTGTTCAAACAGGCCCTGCTCCGTGAGTTTGGGCTGACCCCCGAGATGTACCGGAGAAGGTTCTGGAGTCAGCGTAAAACGCCTGAGGTCACCTACCTACAACTGGTCAGCCGGATGCAGGGATATGCCCGCAAGTGGACTGCTGGGGCCCGAGCTAAAGAGGACCTGCTTGACCTAATCGTACTGGAGCAGCTGTATGAACAGTGCCCTTCCGACCTGAGGCTGTGGTTGGTGGACAAAAAGCTCAAGAACCCCCAGCACACAGGCAGCTGGCCGACGAGTTTGTGAACAGTCGGTCAGGGGGTAGCAGGGAGGAGTCCCAAAAGAACAGGGCCCCCCCCGATGCAGAGAGAGAGTCACCATGGGGCCTCCCAGCGGGGAAATAGGGAGAACCCCCTCCCAAGGGGAACGCCTGGTGTCGGGCCCCTCCTACCTGCTCGAGGGGACCAACGTGACCTGAGCTGCTATCACTGTGGCCAGAGAGGCCACGTACGGTCCCAGTGCCCCGGGCTCAGGGACAAACTGAGCCGACCCAACCTACCCAGGGTTAACTGGGTAGGGACTCAGCCGGACGAGGGGCAGACGACCCAGGCAAGGGGGGCCACCAGTTTACCACCTGCTCAGGAGGGAAGAGTACCCCAGGCCAGCTCCGCCAGAGGGCTGGAGGCTCTGGACTCAGGGTGCTCGGTTTACAGGGGGGGGCGCGGGGCTGTCCCTCCGGAGAGAGTGCCTTGTTCCCCTGGAGGTGGATGGGAGGAAGGTCAATGGATACTGGGATACGGGCGCGGAGGTGACGCTGGCCCGGCCCGAGGTGGTGGCCCCAGATCGGGTGGTGCCCAACACCTACCTGACCCTGACGGGGGTGGGCGGGACCCCATTTAAGGTGCCCATGGCAAGGGTACACCTAAAATGGGGGGCCAAGGAGGGCCCCAAGGATGTGGGGGTGCACCACCATTTGCCCACTGAAGTTTTGATGGGGGGGAGACCTAGAGGACTGGCCAAGCAAGCCCCAGACCGCCCTGGTTGTGACCCGTAGCCAGAGCCGGCGAGGGGCACTGCACCCTGACCTCGGGGAGGGTACCACACCGGAGGCGCAGGACCCTACCCTGGTGGGGAGGGAGCGCCGAGGGGCACGGCTCAGAGAGGCTGAGGCCTCAGACCTGGCCACTGAGGGGGAACCGGGCCCCAGCCCTTCCCCAGCCGCTGAGTTCCAGGCCGAGTTGAGGAAAGATCCCTCCTTGCGGAAGCTCAGGGACCTGGCCGACCTCAGTGTGGTACAGACCATGAGGAGAGGCTGCCAGGAGAGGTTCCTGTGGGAGAAGGGGTTCCTGTACCGAGAATGGGCTCCCACAAGGGAAGTAGAGTCCTGTGGGATCAGGAGGCAGCTGGTGGTCCCCCAGAAGTATCGCCGCAAGCTCCTGTACCTGGCCCATGACATCCCCCTCGCAGGGCACCAGGGAATCCGGCGCACCCGGCAGAGGTTGCTACAGAACTTTTACTGGCCCGGGGTCTTTACCACGGTCCGGCAGTATTGCCGATCCTGTGACCCCTGTCAGAGGGTGGGGAAGGCCCGGGACAAGGGGAAAGCGGCTTTGAGAGCTTTGCCCATCATAGAGGAGCCTTTCCAGAAGGTGGCCATGGACATCGTGGGGCCTCTCAGCAAGACGACCCGGTCGGGGAAGAAATACATTCTGGGGGTGGTAGATTTTGCCACCCGCTACCCCGAGGCAGTGCCCTTAGCTTCCATTGAAGCCGACACCGTGGCAGATGCACTCCTGACCATTTTCAGCCGAGTGGGGTTCCCCAAGGAAGTCTTGACAGACCAAGGCTCCAACTTCATGTCGGCCCTGCTCCGGTGCTTGTGGGAGAAATGTGGGGTCCGGCACGACTGGGCCTCAGCTTATCACCCCCAGTCCAACGGGCTGGTGGAGAGGTTTAACGGGACGCTAAAGATGATGCTGAAAACCTTTATGAACCAGCACCCGCAGGATTGGGACAAGTCCTTACCTCACCTGCTGTTCGCGTACAGGGAGGTGCCCCAGGAGTCTATCGGATTTTCGCCTTTCGAACTGTTATATGGAAGGAGGGTAAGGGGCCCCCTGGACCTGATGAGAGACGAGTGGGAGGAGAAGGCCACTCCCGATGGAGAGTCAGCGGTGGAGTATGTCCTGATCTTCCGAGAGAGACTGGCTGAACTCATGGGCCTGGCCAGGGAGAATCTGGCCAGAGCCCAGAAGAAGCAGAAGGTCTGGTATGACCGCACGGCGCGGGCCCGTGCCTACGCCACCGGGGATCCGGTGATGGTTCCCATCCCCGTGGGAAAGAACAAACTACAGGCCGCCTGGGAGGGCCCTTTCAAGGTTGTCAAGCAGCTCAATGAGGTAAAGTATGTGGTGGAGCTGTCGAACCGGGCGCACCATCGCCGGGTTTACCATGTGAATATGATGAAGCCATATTATGCCAGGGGGAATGTGGTGTTGGCCGTGTGTGGACAGTGGGAGGAGCAGGGAGATGACCCTTTAGTAGATCTATTCCCTGGGACCAGAGCTGGTTCCCCCCTGGAAACAATTCCCCTCTCGGATCAGCTAACCCCTGCCCAGCAAGCTGAGGTCAGGGGGGTGCTGCATCCGTACGGACAGCTGTTTTCCAACCAGCCTGGACGCACTAATCTGACTGTCCACCGGGTGCAGACAGGGTCACACCCGCCGATAAGATGCTCCCCCTTCCGAGTCACAGGGAAAACTGCTCAGGACCTGGAAAGAGAGGTCCGGGACATGCTGGCTTTGGGGGTGATCCAGCCATCTGCCAGCCCTTGGGCCTCGCCGGTGGTGCTGGTCCCCAAAAAGGACGGGTCGGTCCGGTTCTGTGTGGACTATCGGAAGCTCAATGCCATCACTGTATCTGATGCCTACCCCATGCCCAGGCCGGACGAGCTCCTAGACAAGCTGGGAGGAGCTCGGTACCTCACCACCATGGACCTTACAAAGGGCTGCTGGCAAGTGCCGCTGGATGCAGATGCCCGGCTGAAATCGGCCTTTATCACCCCTCTGGGGCTCTATGAGTTCCTGACCCTATCTCTTCGGGCGACACTTCACCGTCTACACCGACCACTCTCCCCTGACCTGGCTGCACCAGATGAAAGGAGCCAACGCCAAGCTCCTGAGATGGAGCCTGCTCCTGCAGGATTACGACATGGACGTGGTCCACGTGAAGGGAAGTGCCAACCTGATAGCGGATGCGCTGTCCCGGAGAGGGGGCCCCGAACTTCCCCAGGTCACTGGTCGGCGTGACCCCCCTCAGTTCAGTCTCGAAGGGGGGAGAGATGTGAGGATGTGACGCAGCAGGGAGAGGGGAGTGTTGACCTGGGAATGTGCCCTGGGGATGGGAGACCTGAGAGCCTGTCACCTGAGCCAGGAGGGGGCGGGGAGGTAACACCTCTGCCCAGGAATGTGAACAGAGGCTGCAGGAGAGAGTCTGCTGGGGGGGGGTTAGTTTCAGTTTGGGGCTGGGTGGAGGAACGCAGGGAACCCCAGGGCTGGGGTCTAAGTTCCCTGCTCCCCCAGAAGGACTTGACTGAGGGGTCCTGGGTGTACCCACAAGCTCTGTTTGAGACTGTGTTCCTGTTGTCATAGAATCATAGAATATCAGGGTTGGAAGGGACCTCAGGAGGTCATCTAGTCCAACCCCCTGCTCAAAGCAGGACCCATCCCCAATTAAATCATCCCAGCCAGGGCTTTGTCAAGCCTGACCTTAAAAACCTCTAAGGAAGGAGATTCTACCACCTCCCTAGGTAACGCATTCCAGTGTTTCACCACCCTCCTAGTGAAAAAGTTTTTCCTAATATCCAACCTAAACCTCCCCCACTGCAACTTGAGACCATTACTCCTCGTTCTGTCCTCTTCCACCACTGAGAATAGTCTAGATCCATCCTCTCTGGAACCACCTCTCAGGTAGTTGAAAGCAGCTATCAAATCCCCCCTCATTCTTCTCTTCTGCAGGCTAAACAATCCCAGCTCCCTCAGCCTCTCCTCATAACTCATGTGTTCCAGACCCCTAATCATTTTTGTTGCCCTTCGCTGGACTCTTTCCAATTTTTCCACATCCTTCTTGTAGTGTGGGGCCCAAAACTGGACACAGTACTCCAGATGAGGCCTCACCAATGTCGAATAGAGGGGAACGATCACGTCCCTCGATCTGCTGGCTATGCCCCTACTTATACATCCCAAAAAGCCATTGGCCTTCTTGGCAACAAGGGCACACTGCTGACTCATATCCAGCTTCTTGTCCACTGTCACCCCTAGGTCCTTTTCCGCAGAACTGCTGCCGAGCCATTCGGTCCCTAGTCTGTAGCGGTGCATTGGGTTCTTCCGTCCTAAGTGCAGGACGCTGCACTTATCCTTATTGAACCTCATCAGATTTCTTTTGGCCCAATCCTCCAATTTGTCTAGGTCCCTCTGTATCCTATCCCTGCCCTGTCCAATAAACCTTCTGTTTTACTGGCTGGCTGAGAGTCTCAGTGAATCCCAGGAAGAGGGGTGCAGGGCCTGGACGCCCCCACGCTCCGTGACACCCTCTGAGCCCAGTGCTCCCCCAGCCTTCGAGCCAGGCTCGGCCCCGGCGGGCAGGTTGGGAACCTCCAGCTGGACCCAGCCCCAGATATGTCAGCCAGCCTCACAGACACCCCTCCCTCCATCCTATCCACTCCCCACCCCTCCCTCCATCCCCCACCCCCAGATATGTCAGCCAGCCCCACAGACACCCCCTCCCTCCATCCTATCCACTCCCCACCCCTCCCTCCATCCCCCACCCCCAGATATGTCAGCCAGCCTCACAGACCCCCCTCCCTCCATCCTCTTCACTCCCCACCCCTCCCTCCATCCCCCACCCCCAGATATGTCAGCCAGCCTCACAGACCCCCCTCCCACCCACCCCCTCCCTCCATCCCCACCCCGCCCTCCTCCAATGAAGACACCAGCTCCTGGCTTTGGGCTCTGAGTCAGCAGACAGAAAGCAAAGATCCTTTATTGGGGGGCGCGCGGCCCCCGGACGGCGGGACAGCCGGATGCCCCCCCTCAGTCGGGGTTCACCACCAGCAGTTTCTGCATGTAGGAGTTGAGCCATTTCTGGCGCTCCAGGGCCGTCAGCATCTTGCTCTGCTCCCGGAAAGCCGCGTCGTCCGCCACCACGATGCTCCTCTTCCCGCCCCAGGCGGGGGCCGGGGCCAGCTCCGCAGGCGGGACTTCCTGGCTTGGCCCGCTCCAGGGACGGGACTTCCTGCTTCGCCCCTCTCCGGACAGCATCCGCAGGCTCCAGTCCTGCAGGGTGATGGACGGCAGCTGCAGGTCCCAAGGGGCATCCCGCGTCCACAGCCTAGGGAGAGAGAGAGAGAGAGAGAGAGCCCCGGACTCCTGGGTTCTCTCCCCAGCTCCGGGAGGGGAACGGGGTCTGGTGGTTAGAGCAGGGGGGGCTGGGAGCCAGGACTCCTGGGTTCTCGCCCCGGCTCCGGGAGGGGAGCGGGGTCTGGTGGTTAGAGCAGGGGGGGCTGGGAGCCAGGACTCCTGGGTTCTTGCCCCGGCTCCGGGAGGGGAGCAGGGTCTGCTGGTTAGAGCAGGGGGGGCTGGGAGCCAGGGATCCTGGGTTCTCGCCCCAGATCTGGGAGGGGAGTGGGGTCTGCTGGTTAGAGCAGGGGGAGCTGGGATCCAGGACTCCTGGGTTCTCTCCCCAGCTCCAGGAGGGGGGCAGGGTCTGGTGGCTGTGGGGGGCTGGGAGCCAGGACTCCTGGGTTCTCTCCCCGGCTCCGGGAGAGGAGCGGGGTCTGCTGGTTAGGGGGGGGGGGGGGGGGGGGGCTGGGAGCCAGGACTCCTGGGTCTCGCCCTGGCTCCAGGAGGGGGTCGGGGTCTGGTGGCTGTGGGGGGGCTGTACCTGTTGGGGGGATACGACGGGGGGAGCCAGGCCCCTGAGCACAGGAGCAAGGAGCAGCCCAGGAGGAAGGTGACGGGGACCAGGCCTCTCCCAGCGCCGGGCGGAGTGTCCATCTCCGATCCTGGGGGACGGAAACAGGGTCAGAGCCCCCTGGACACAGACAGACCCTGCCTCCCCCCGCCCCCCCAGCAGGCCGAGCCCAAGATCTCCTCCTCCGCTCTCAGCCCCCAGCTTTCCTGGCTCGGCTGGTACCAGCACCTCCCTCAGCCCAGCGGTGCCCCCCCCCAGGCTGAGCTCAGCCCCCCAACCTAACCCCCTCTTCCCCAGCCCAGTGGTGCCCCCGAGGCTGAGCCCAGCCCCCCAGCCCAACCCCCGCACCCCCCCAGGCTGAGCTCAGCCCCCCAGCCCAACCCCCTCTCCCCCAGCCCAATGGTGCCCCCCAGGCTGAGCGCAGCCCCCCCTGCCCCACAGCGCCCCCCACAGATTACCTGTGATCCCCGTAGTGGAGCACGGCCCAGCAACACCCCGTCTCCCTAGCCCCAGCTCCCCGGGGTGATTTATACCCGTCCGCCGAGCCCCCCAGCCGCCCCCCTGCTCCCAGCATGACGCAGGCTCGGGCAGCCGGCGGGGGTGTCAGGGTCGCGGATCGATGGCGCCGCTGCCCAGCCCGGGGGGGTCCCCGACCCCATGCGCGGACCGAGGCGTTAATGAACCAGCCGGGGTGGCAGGGGGCTCCTGGGACCCCCAAGTCTGACGCCTGGGTGGCGGGGGGGGGAGCTCAGAGTCGATGGGATGGACGGACGGACCCCTTGGCCTGCGGCTCCCTAATTGCCTGCCCCTCCCCCCTCGAAGGCCTCGTTAGACGGCGTCGCTAACGAAGCCCCTGGCCCGCGCGCGTGATTCACTGCCGGCCTGGCCGGCTGTCGATGGCGAGTGGGTGGTTCCGGGGGGTGTCTCGCTCTCCCGAGCTCATTAGCGCCAGCCTCGTTAGCCGGCACCTAATGAGCTGGCGAGGAAAGCGGGGCTGGGCCGTGTCTCCCAGCTGGGAAGGAGGGCACATCCTGTAGGACCCAGGCCCCGAGGCAACCATCCCCATATTGCGCCCACTCTGGGGGCCGCAGTACCCCGTGGAGGGGGCCAGAGGGCCCTGGGGATCTATGGGGACCCCACAAGACTCCCGCCCTGGTCCCATGTCACAAGGGCCCCAGCTCTGGCGGCCCAGCCCTGGGAAAACCCTCATCCCCCCCAAAACCTGTTTATCCCCCCGGCTCTGGGAGGGGAGCGGGGACTAGTGGTTAGAGCAGGGGGGACTGGGAGCCCGGACTCCTGGGTTCTCTGTGCATTGCAGGGCCGGTCCCGTGAGGGAAGCTGAAGCCCCGGGACGGATCCTGGGGGGGCTGATCGGGGCGGGGGCGGGGGCTCAATGCAGACGACGCTGGGTTATTTCCAGAGAGGCCAGAGTGGGGCGGAGGGGCCAGGCCGGGAAGGGGGGGCTGGCGGGCAGCACCAGGCGGACAAGCCAGATATCAATTGCCCGGCGCTCACCCCCAGGTGGCTAATTGGGACTGGAGAGCGGGGGGCGGGGGGGGGGGCAGACGGGAAAATTGTTTCATTAAATTAATGGAGCCACGCAGCAGCCAGGGACATGGAGCTGCCGGGGGGGGGGGGGGCTGCCAGTGGCTGGGGAGTTTGGGGAGGGGAGATGGGGGATTAACCCCCCCTTGCAGGGACAGACAGGGGAGTGGGGATGGCAGATCAGTATCCCAGGGTACAGACAGAGGGATGGGGGGGCAGGGGGTTGGGGGAGGGGGGAATGAGCCCCCCAGGGACACACACAGAGGGATCTGGGGCAGGGGGTTGGGGTAGGGGGAATGAGCCCCCGCCCCCCGGGGCACACACAGCAGGATCGCATGCCCCGTGTGTGTGTGTGTGTGTGTGTGTCCCTTCCCCTTTAAATCTCAGCCCTGGGGGCCCCGCCCCTTCCAGCTGCCCCTGATGGGGGCAGGAGTCATTTATCCCCCTGCCCGGGGTGGCTCCCAGCAGCTGTAGCTGGGGCAGCTATGGGGAGCCAGCGCTTGGGGGCCCTTTTCCATCTTCTCTGGCTGAGTCTGGGGGCTGCCTCGCTGCCTCCTCTGGGTGAGTTAGTCTGGGGCCCCCCAGCACCCCCCCACCCCATCCCCATGCAGCTGGGGGCAGAGAGGAGGGACTGGCCTCAGCTGAGCCCTGGCCAGGACTCCTGGGTTCTCTCCCTGGCTTGGGGAGGAGTTGGGCTGCTTGGGGCAGGCTCTCACTGCCCCCCTGTCCTGCCCCCCAGATTACCCTGTGAGGTTGTACTCCGAATCCTCCCGCCTCTCCACTGTCCTGCGTGTGCGCCCCGCGTTCTGCCTCTTCGAGCGCTGGCGGCAGGCGACCGTGGACCCCAGCCAGGCGCCTCGGGCATCGGCCACGATCCAGGTGCACGTACAGCCCTCAGGTATGGGGAGGGGAATGGGGTCTAGTGGTTAGAGTGGGGGGGGGGCAGGGAGCCAGGACTCCTGGGCTCTCTCTCCAGCTTGAGGAGGAGAGTGGGGCCTAGTGGTTAAGGTGGGGGTGGGAGCCAGGACTCCTGGGTTCTCTCCCTGGCTCTGGGAGGGGAGTAGGGTCTAGTGGTTAGAGCGGTGGTGGTGGGGAGCCAGGACTCCTGGGGCATGACTCCATGTTGCTGTCTCCCCCAGGGGACAATGCCACCTACAAGGTGCCCCAGGGCTTCCCGGTGCCCCCCTGCAGCCCCCTGTTTGAGGAGCCCCCCCTCCCACGGGAATTTGCCTATGATGTGGGGCCAGGCCTGGCCTGCTTGAACGACACCTGCACCCGGGACCTGCTCCCTGGCCGGAGCTACAGGTAGTGGGGCGATGGGGGGAGGAGTGGGGGGGCTAGGATGAGGGGCCTTGGGTGCTGCCTGGGAGGGTTGAATCTGTGGGGTGTAGCTGCAGGGTGTGGGGAGCGTATAGGAGCGGCTGGGGAGGCAGAGATTGTGGGGGTGGGGAATGGGGAGCGAGGCCTAGTGCTTAGAACGGGGGAAGAGTCGTGAGCCAGGACTCCTGGGTTCCCTCCCGTTTCATAAGAACCAGCTGCCTTGATTCCCGCAGGGTGCGGTTTGCTCTGTACGGCCGAGCCGTGACCCCGGTGATGGTGACGAACTGGTCCCGACCTTTGGAGACGAGAGGTGAGACCGGTTTGGGGGGGGGGGGGGAGGGAACGGGGCGCTGGGCCTTTCCCCTCCGGGGGGCGCTGGCTCCCAGAGCTGGAGGTGTGGCTTAGTCTGGCCATGCCCCCTCCCTTGTGCAGCAGGACTAAGCCCCACCTCTTTGCCCCTGTGGCTTTTCCCCCCCCCCAGGTCTCCCCCGCAGCTTCCGCGCCATGGAGCCTGGCCCCGGCGGGCGCTCGGGGGGCATGGTGGTCGTCACCGTGCTGCTGAGCGTCTCCGTCCTGCTGCTGCTGGCTGCCATGGGGCTGGCCGTGGTCCTGGGGCGCCGCTGACCCCTGCTGGCCGGAGAGACGCCACCTCCTGCTTGGGGGACGACCCCCCCTCGGATATTGCAGGGACGCCCTGTCACTGTGTCATTAAACGCTCTGCTTTCCACCTCCTGGAGTCTGTCTGTCTGTCCAGCGGGCCGGGAAAGGAGCAGGAGAACGGCCGTGCTGGGCCGGCCCCACGGGCTGTCTGGCCCCCAGGCTCCTGTGGGGTGCCCGGTTTGAGGCAATCATCGAGTGATCCATCCCCCACTCCCAGCTTCTGCCAGTCAGAGGCTCAGGGACACCCAGAGCATGGGGCTGGCTCCTGGCCCAGCCTGGCTAATAGCCACTGATGGACTGACCCACGATGAACTTCCCTCATTCTCTTCTGAACCCTGTTCTACTTTGGGCCTTCACAACATCCCCTGGCAGGGAGTTCCCCAGGTTGACAGGGCATTCGGTGTTTTTTTTTTTTTAAACCTGCTGCCCATTAATTTCAGGGCGTGACCACAGGTTCTTGTGTCACGTGAAGGGGGGGGAATAACCCTTCTCCACACACCAGTCCTGATCGTATAGACCTCGATCATACCTCCCCCCCGTCCTCTTTCCCAAGCTGAACAATCCCTGGTGTTAATATCTCCTATCCAAGCTGCTCCATTTTTCCGTATCATTTTTGTGGCCCATCTCTGCACCTTTCCCACTTTCTACCAGATCGCGGCTGCCAGCCCATGCCAAGAGCTGCCCGAGCCATTCTGGGGCTGGGGGGGGTGTTTGGATTTACCGACCGCTGTGAGGATCTTGCCCGGTTCCTCTCCCTTTCCTAGGGGTCCTGCATCTGCTTAGCTCCTGGGGGGCAGGTTTCCTGAGAAGTGTCCACCGGGACTCTCAGATCTCTTGTGTGAGTGGGAACAGCTAATTCAGACCCAGCTCGATCCACAGGCCCGGTGCTCTCGCCCAGCCCCTTCGGGGTCGCTTTCACTAGGGTGAGCCCCTTGGCTCCCTGCCCCCTGGGACCTACCCTCTGAACCTGCAGCTCTTCCCCCCCCGGGGTCAGGCCGGGAGCATCGAGTGCCCTGGGGGCAGATGGACGCCGCCCCAGAGGGAGCTTTGGGCTTGGGAGTGACTTGGCAAGCGGGGTGGGGAGGGGGTTGTCAGGGGTCTGAGTGCAGGGTGGAGAGTCCTGGGCTAGTGCTGGGAACAGAAATTACAGCCAAGGCCCGCTGGGTCGGGCCTGAGCCCAGAGCGGTCCCCCCACCCCACTCCTTAGTCCTAGGGCCCCCAGCAGGCCCACACTGAGCAACCCCCTGCCCCCTCCCAGCCCTTTGTCCTCCAGCTGCTTGCATCTGGCTGGCTCCCTGCCTGGGGGCACCCATGGGGTGTTAGCTGCTGGGTGCCAAGGGGCTGGTCAGTGGGTTGGACCGTTGTCTTCTAGGCCCCTCCCTGGACATGGGAGTTGGGGGCCTGGCCCTAACCAGCTGCTGTGGGTCATACCTGGGTCTGTGCAATGAGCAAACAGTCTCTTCCTCTCCCACTATGTGACCACGCAGCATGTGGGGAAACTGAGGCACATACCAGTGTTAGGATATTGCTCTTCAGGCCTGTCTGCAAAGGCCGAGACTCTAAGAACGTAGGTGTGTTCTTATCACTTCGCTGGTTCTAGACGTATAAAAGACAGAATCAACATCGCAGTTTGCCTGCTCCCGGGGCCTTTTCTCAGGCTGACCGGCTGAGGCCCTGGTCTTAGGCTAAGGCCTCTGGCTAAGCAGCAGGGGCCGTTGGGCTGTTAGGAGGAGGATCCTGTCCCGATCACGCCCATCGTCCCCAGAGACCGGGACGAGCCTGGAGGATGGAAAAGGACATGTCGTTGGAGAGGGTCCTGTCTGGCAAGAACTCACCTCTCAATGGCTGGGGTGTGAAATCCTCACTTCTGGGCTGCTCTCTCGCGGTCGTCCCCTCTTTCGTATGGTTTGTCTAATCTCTGTCTGGGTCTCTAATTGTTTGTCTGCTGTAGAATTAATTTTTGCTGGGTGTAAACGAATTAAGGCAGAGGGACATAATTGGTCAGAT